AATGGTTCATACAAGGTTATGTAGGGGTTAGATAAGGGCTTTATTGCAGGCTCGTACAGGGTTTTAGCATATAGGGGGTTACATGAGGACATTACCACAATACTAGAGGATCAAGTGGAGAACAGATTGGTACTTTAGATGCAAACCGTCGGTCCTTTTTCAGGGTTTAGGGTTTAGGGTTTAGGGTGCGGATACCGGAGAATCAAAGGAAAAAGCAAACGGGGCTTATAGGGAGTTATGCTTATCTATACATATGCATATATATATACATATATGGACATATACATATTTAGGGTTTACTTCCTGGTTGCCACCAGGCATTCTATACTGGGGCTGCTATAAGGATCCATTCTTCCGTTTCCTATCAACAATCAGTAATCGAAGTTGCATTCAGCAAGTAACCCTGAACCCTAAACCCTAGGCTTGGGGCTTGCTAAGTACGGGGCTATGGATTCTTGCGTTTGTGTTTTGGGGTCTTCACTGCTGAGTGTTTAGGGGATTAGGATAGCTCAGGCATTGGGACCCTAAACCCCAAATTCTAAACCTACACTGATGAAGCCTGCGTAGCCTTGAGACCAAATGCCATAAGAAATCAGAGGGCCTAACAATGGGCCCCTACGCCCCTACCTGTTTCCTGGGTCTCAAATGTGGGCCCTCAAAGCCCTTAATTGCGCTCGTAGGGTCTCGCGGGGTATATAATAGGCATATAAGGATCCCAGTATTACGGGCCCCTGCTAGGGGGCCATAATTCCAACCGGATATCTGGCGTTTTTAGAGCATGTAGAACAGAGGACCCGGTGGGGCTCAGGCAAAAGGACTTCTTACTAGATCTTGGTAGGGAGTTCAGGAAGGGCTCTCTCTTGTAGCACCTACCTCATTTGGTTATCCCCAACATTACGGTAGCTTCCATGTTCTTATTCCTTCATGTCCCACGAGCTTGAATTGATAGCTGGCGCAGCTTGGTACACCAAGGCTTTAGGGTTGCAAGCTTGGGGCCCTTGATTTCTTGGGCCCCGGTAAGATCACAAAGCAACAAGGTCCAAACATAATCCTGCTTCTCAACTTACATTCGTAGAGTTCTGGAGGGGGCACCGTTTGTTACACTCCGTGCCCAATACTCGGAGTTCTTGTCGTGGGGGTAGTTATGAACAAGGACGTCTTCATTTCAAAAGTATAATATGGAGGCCGGGATGCTTCAGAAGAACCCGATTAGGTGGAACACCTCCATACCAGCCACCGAACCGAAGGGTCATCCCAAGTGCAGAAAGAGCTCAGGATCACCGAGCTGAGACCTAGAATAGGCTTCAGGGCTAGGTCGGTATTCTTATCGGATAGAATCATTCTAGGGGGACGTGTGCACTATGGTCTAAACTCCAACTATCCCCTGGATAACCCCAATAGTACTCCCTTACATAACCCTCTTTGAGGAGTGTGGACTATAGCTTAAGTGGACCCCCCACCCAGTAATAGTGACTATAAGGGATAATCGGGATGACATTAGGGTCCTCTTATATTCATATTATACCACTATTACAGGGTGGGGGGGTCCTCCTAAACTATAGCTCATGGAGGTGAGTACTTTCCTACTAGTACCTGAGTTCAAGGTTGCTGGTACCGGGATCATGAAGGAACACGGTTCTGAAAAACTGGTTGATCCCCATAACATATCATAACCCTAAGCCCTAACCCCAAGGGTCCAAGTACCCAAACAGTAAGGCTTTAGGGCACCTAAACCCTAATATTTGGACACCTGGACCCCTAGGGTCAAAAAAGTATCTTGTCGTGGTCACTCTCTGAGATTGCAGGATAGGTCCCACGGAGGCCGTTTCTGCAATGCAGACCATGGAGCTAGAAGACCCTGAGAAAGGTGGAGTTGGTATGGTCCAGGCGCCCCAAACCCTGCCTAGACCTCAACAGATCCATAACCAGTAACCCCCAGTAAGCATGCCGCCTACAGGGTTCAAGGTGGTCAAAGAATCCGATGAGGTTTGGGCCCATACTTCTCTGCAATAGCACATACACTCGTTGCTCTGGGGTTCACTGCTGTTGCTTTGGGGATTTGGGAGGTCTAGGCGCTAGCCCTACACACTAGACCCTAGAACCCTGAAGCGACTGTCCGGCATGCAGGTCCTCCGTCATCTCGTTTTCCCAGCACTTGGCCCGAACCTCCATCTTTGACAGCCTGCTTTAAGGCTCAGGATTTGGGGGTTCAACAATCCCGGGAGGCGCAGGCAGCTTAAGGGGACGTGGTTCACTTTTGCTGTTCAGGTGCAAATAATTTGAATTTAGCTCGGGGTAAGTTCTGCCATGCAATGACAGCGTCAGAATCATTCAGGCTTCTACAATAGCCGCTTTGACACTTCGCCGCCATTACCCTACCCTAAACCCTGGAACTTTCACCCATAAACCCTGAAACGCTTTGTAGGCGTTGCCTTGGATGACACCAGGTGTTCATGGAAGAATCTCTGCACTACTCCCATTTCCCCACCCTGAACATTCTTCGAATACTTTGTGTAGCTAGACTAGCTGCAGTGCAAGATGCCTTCCGTCCGCTGTACTGTACAAACCTCCAGAATCTGAACAGACTTAGGCAGGCGTCTAGAACCTGCAAAGTCACAAGCTAGCACTCTGAAGAAAGACCACAAAACCTTGCAAACTATGCACGCTTCTAGTCATACCGCCTATGGGGCCTACAATCCGTTGATAGAATAGTTCCCGCGCCACCTAGGATCCCTAAAATGCGGTAATTGTTGCTTTATTTGGTACATTCGGTGGTGTAAGATTTCTCACATCCTCTGAGGGCAAGCGCCTGTAACGGCTCTCAGCAACAGGGCCCTTACGAGCTCATGGGCTTCAACAGTGTGTGGGTTTAGGGTCACAAACGACTCGGTCCCATCGACTCCAGAGAAGTACGTATCCCTAAACCACCTGAACTCTCCCAGATTGCCTATGCCCCTTCTCCCATGAAAAGAAACGTAATTAATTTGTGCTTGGTCAACCAGGATGACCAGCAACCTAGGTATAAAAAAGACATCTCTTGTTAGTATACACGATTTTAGCCTTAAGTTTTAGGCTTTCAGGACGAGGAAATTAGGGCAGAAAAAGGGGGACAGGATCACCCACATATGAGATACAGTCAATATGTCCTACATAGTTTGATGGATGTGGGTTCCTTATTAGGGACTATTTTAGGGGCTATAGTAAACTACAAGGGAGACCCCTATGTCCACCCTTAAGGATCCCTTGGTAAGGCCAATATTGACAGTAGCTCATATACATATTTACGTATACCTATATATGTAAAGAGAGATTATCTACCCTAAGCCCTAAACCCTAAACCCTAACCCCCTAAAACCTAAACCCTAAACCCTACTTTACATCGTAGGAACCTTTCCAGCCACAGCCGGTGCGACCGCTCCGCGGATGCTGCGGCGGCAGCCATGGCTCAGCGTGTTTGGGTTAAGGGTTTAGGGTCTAAACTCCTTAAAGGGGGGTATTTAGGGCTTGGGGTCTAGTGGTTCACATTGAGGGTCTAAGATCTATCAACACTGTGGTCCTTGTTTGGTGCGGTCTTATCAGAACCGACTAAGAAGGGACACTGTTTCCAGGTCTGCTGTGGGGTTGGCGATTTTCGGCGTTTGGGTGCAGGTGAGTTGAGGTGGTCCCCTTAGACCATGCTCCAAGCTTCCGGGCGTGAGTGTTTATTGAGTACAGGGGCTGAGCCTGAGGTACGTGTCAAATGTTTGATTTTGGGTTTGAACCCTAAACCCTAAACCCTAAACCCTAAGTTGTATTTTAAAAGCTGGGCCCTGGGCTTCCCTCCGGGCCGTATCCGACTGAGAATGTAAGTTTCAGGTGCGGTGAGGTTGAGTATTCCACCTCAGCATCTCCACTGCATTTTTTTTACGATAGCCTGAGCTCCGACTATCTCCCTTAATAAGCCCTGTATAACCCTGTTTAAGGAGTTTAGACTATAGCTCATATGACATGATACTTTGAGCTTTGGATGAGGGGGTTAGCAAGCTTGTGCTGGTCATCTCATGTATGCCGAACCTGCTTCTGCAGGGCTTGAGCACATGATGAGTGTTCTTTGGGTGGTTGAAGCACTTAATGGTATTCTTTTACAGCACTACAACGAGAAATTCAAAAAGGAGGCTAAAATGTCGTTTCGCTTTGAGGACTTGAAGGTCGCAATCTCAAAAACTAGCCATGTGAAGGGGAGCCAAGGAGAGTAGGCAGGGCTGCATGGGGTTGTATTGGGGATATGTATATATATATATTGACTTATTTATCCATCGGGTTATATAGGGATAGATCGGGTTATATAGGTGTATATTGGGGTTATGAGGTTATATTGGATTATAATATATGGTTATATAGGGTTAGGCTCAGAGTCGAGCATTCTGGGCCGACCACTGTTGCAATGAAGAAAGAGTCCATGATTCGTCTGGTTTTAAGCCGAGTTGGGGGGAGCCGTGTGTTTGTGGCTTAGAACTGGCAGTGTATAGGCATGGATATTTTCTAAGGCTGTGAAGGCTCATTCTACCAAAGAAAGACAAACTATGAGGCGACATTCTTTCTCATTCTTCAGGGCTCTACATGTATGGCATGAAGGGTGTTAAGTTGCTTCTTGGAAGAAAAAACTGGCTTGATCAGCTGGCAACCCAAAATTTGCCCTCAACCCTAAACCCTAACCCAAGGCTTCCGAGTCTTTGATAAGGGGAATGTGGTAACTCCAACCCCTAAATCTTCCAACCCCTAAATCTAGGACCAGTTATAGGATGTTGTAGAGTCCAAATTTTGTGGGTTGGGGTTCTCAAGGCCTCCTTATCAAGTTTGAGACTTGCGGTTGGGAGTGTAAGGTCTGGACTCTAAGCTCCAGGGATGTTTGAACTGTGCCTCGAAAGATCGCCAAGATTCCCCAAGTTCACGGATCAAGCCCCATCCATAGCAAACAAAGGGGTCAAGGATCCCTAATCGGTAAACCCTAGGCGGAGGGCCTCTGACAGCTCATCCACTGCGATTGTCGCCATGGCGTTGCCTCACATGTTGGACCATCCCTTCCCCACGCAGCTGAATCCCAACCAACGCCGTTTGGCGTTAAGGACCTTCCGCTAAGTTTGCCATAACACGGGTGTGTGGTCAACAATGAGGTGTCCGTTTTTATGGTAGAGTAATTTAAACTCCGTACCAGCGACCCAGGAACTCAATACTGGAGATTCCTGCAACAGAAACTGTGGGTTGGCGTGTGCCAAGGTAATGGCGGATTCGGATTACAAAAGGGGGTCGTATTAGAGCGAAAATCAGCCCGAACGGAATAATAAAAAGGGGGTCGTATTAGAGCTAAATCCGAGCTGAACGGATTAATAACAACATAGGAACGGAATAGTGCA